TGAGTCAGAACAGCCGGCATTGTAGTCTACTTACTCTCCCACAGGAAACGGTCTAACAGGGTTAGAGTGAGCGGCGGGTGGACTTGAGAACGGCGCGGCCGGTGATTTCGACAAAGGAGCGTCCGGAAGGACATGTGACGACTCCGGGCTGGACTCAGAATATCTCTTTGGATTTGAGACTTTAGTATTTGCAACTTTACAGATCTTATTTATGCACCAAGAGCTTGTAACACTCCAAAGAGAAAGGAAAAATTGAAATCGCATCATATGACCCCTTTAAGACTTGAAATAGCAGACCAGTAAACATGCAGATCCATGTCTTATAAACATTTTTGATTTGAAATGTGTAAAGAAGCAGCAAGTTGTTATCTTTTAATGAACAAAATGTCTCAATTAGTAGAGAGAGAAATCCACTCAGTCCAGTCACACACAAGATGCGGCGAGGAAGCATGTCTCATCCTCCTCAATGTAAGTAATTCATGCCAACATCCATTTGTCTATCCATCCACACATCCATAATGTCCATCTCTCTGTCTCTCTTATCTGTAGTATCAGACCTGAATATTATGCTGTTGGGTCTGACTGGAGCAGGGAAAAGTGCATCAGGAAACACCATCCTAGCTGGAGACAGAAAAACATTCAAAGAACTTAATTATTTTACGTCTGAGACCAAAATTTGTGCACCAGCGCATACAGTGGTGGACGGACAAACTATCAATGTGATCGACACTGTGGGACTCTCTGATACAGCTGTGAAGATTACAGATGTTCAGACCCAAATAGAGCAGATAATGCAGAATACACCACTCGATGTGTTTCTGCTGGTGATCAGACTGGGTGAGACGTTCACAAAGGAGAAACGTGAACCTGTGAAATGGATCCAGGAGAACTTTGGAGCAAAGGTCTTAAAACGCACAATAGTGCTCTTCACTCATGCGGATCAGTTACATGAGCCAATAGAAGATTATCTGAGCAAATCTGAATCACTGTGGTCAGTAGTTGATCAGTGTTCAGGTGCATTTCATGTTTTTAACAACAAAGATGAAGATCGAACTCAAGTCACTGAGCTTCTGGAAAAGATTGAGTTTCTGAGGAGGACGAATGGATACAGGAGATACACTGAGCTGGACTTTAAGAAGACTCAGAAAGATCTCTGGCTCAAGAAATGTGACATCTTCATAGTAGCAATAGCATTAGGAGCAGCAGCAGCAGTTTTAGCTGGAGCAGCATTAAGAGGAGGAGAAGGTGTATTAGGAGGAGCAGATGTATTAAGAGCTGCAGGAGTAGGAGAAGCAGCTACGATGATGGCTTCAGTTGCACCACGTACAGGACCAGCAGCATTACTAGGAGCAGCAGGAGGTGCAGCTCTCCTGGCAGTAGCAGCTTGTGCTGGACTGTATTTTTTGGCAAGAAAATATCTCTCTAGAGAAAATGATAAAAGTGACTAACATACTCTAGCATCATGCTGTATATAGCATGAGTAGAACAAGCACATTTGAAATAAATACATTTACTTTCACAGTGGAGTCAATAAATAATCAAGTATGTTTTTCTTTCGTAAAATAGTGTATTATACAATCCTGATATTAGGAGGGTTTTACACTAAATTAAATCTGAACGCTGGAGAAGCCTTGTGTAACTGTGTCCAGCAGAGAGAGCTGTGTCATGCCGTGAATGTGTGCGCATGTGTGAATGCGCAGATCTGCCTGTATGCATCGACTGCACGAACATATACAGGTTTTCGTTGCTTGAACTGACTGGAATTCGGACTGCTCCCTCCGTCATGACAAAAATGGAAATATGCAAACTAAATTAAGAGCTGAAACTGGTCTGAACTGCAATTTTATCTAATCAAAACTGTATTTTGTTCAAAAAGAAAATTTATGGAAATAAAAGTAATCAAGGTGATTTTATGCACTAGCCTATATATTAATCAACGCATGTATAATCCATCATCCCCCATTAAGGTCAAAATAAACTAGGCTGAAACTATGCTATTTCAAGGACACAGCCCTTAAATTTTTTTTTTCCCTTTTTGTTCACATAAATGCTTTTGTTTTGCCTCTTCTAATCTGAGTGAGTTATTTTTTTTTTCAATAATAATAAAAAAGGCCCAAAAGCTATAAATGAAATGTCCCTCCTTTTACGAATAGCCTATAACAAATCGTTAGAGGCATTCATCATTCAAAGCCAATCAGCTTTCAGAATCACAATAGTGCGTCATCAAACCTGTAAACACAACAGGGCTGCGTTCAGTCCCGGCAAAACGTTTTTTAAACGGAAACGGTGGTGCGTTGAACGCCCTGTTCTGATGACGCAAGAGTTGCAACTATGGCAGCTGAGAAGGCCATTCTTTGTGTTCTTTTTGAAGAATTTTCGGAGCCTGATTAAATTGGTATAAATACATATTTAATACTGCAAAATACGCTAGATGTTACAGTTCAATTGTTGCGTATACCGAGCTGCAGCGGACACATATGTAAACGACTTTACTTGGACCCATTGTGCGAGCTGTCTCTTTAACCCTTTCAATGATGAGTTTAAAATATTCTAGCGGTCCCCCCAGAGTGAGTTTTTTTTAGGCGACCGTTATTTTAGAACGTTTCCCCTTACTGTTTCCATGGCGACGCGTCATGCTTGTCACGTGACACACCGCCGCCACAATAACACTGTCTGACAGATGGATTGCTTTTATTTCCTTTTTCCTTTTTTATTCAAAATATTCATAAACTTGCTTACCATGTCATCAACTATCTGATATTCCGATTCACAAATATGTGTAAATGAGTGTGTTTTGTCGTTTAAAAACCTTTCTAAATGATCTTGATCGTGATCTGTAACGTGAGATGGGCGCCGCCATGTTTGTTCGCGCTGCAGTTCAGAGAGTCCTGTCAGTCGAATTCATTTTCATAAATTCATAAATTTCTCCCGAAATACATGCAAATAAGTGGCCGGTGAACTGGGAGAAGAATAGAGTGAACTTTATAGTTACTTAGACTGTGTGTATCTGATATTAATAAAACACGTGGCAAATTATATTTGAATGGATTGTTATTGCTGCTTCCATAAACATCCGTGTGTATTTTACGAACTCTAAGTGTATTGTTTTACTAGTACTTATGTGTATTTAAATGTCTGAAACCTAAAATAAACATTATGTGGTTAAAACTGCATAGTTATATGACAAGTGCAGCGGCGTCTCAGCGTCAGCCAAAGCGCGAAAACGCAGTTTGAATTTGGCAGTTAAGTGACGTCACCGAACGGTCTAAATCCCATATGTGGGACCGTACTCCCAGGGGCACGGAAATAAAAATCCCATATGTGGGACCGTAC